CATCAAAGCGCTAGAATGCAATACCACACACATTGGAAATTAAAAAAAAATTATGTCTGCCATTTGATAGAGAAACCTAATTTACAGTAATTATTCATGTCTGCAGAATACATATGACAAAACCGAGGAAAATTAAAAGTCCTATAAATAGCCTCACTAGAGAACAGCTGGTTAGATCCCATACAATAACCAAGTATTTATACCCATCCACATGTTTCTGCATCACCAAGAAGACGGCAACTGCAACCTTGAAATTCAGTTTAGATCCATGAAAAGTACAAAAGGAGAATGAGAGGAAATTGAAATGTCAGAGCAGCTGGACCTCAGGCTTCCCATTACCGCCCTAATGCCGAAAGCTGGGGCTAAAGGAAAAACCTTTAGGAATTTCAGTGTTCACTACCACTCAAGTGCTCGGCCTTTTTTTCATGGACATATTCTACACCTGCTACTACAATTTATTGCTTTGTCACAAGGTGAGGTGTAGTTGCAAATTGAAAAATGCCTTACCCAGTTTATGCATGGTGCTGAGCGGGCACGAAGCTTGGCACCTTCAGCTCCCACCCTCCCGGGAGACCTCCTCCAGCTCAGGGCTGCTCCCATGGCTCTTGTCCATGTGTGCACCCTGAGCATCTCACACAAAATTTAAATACATTGAGCAAAAACGCAGGCAACTGATCAACGCGGCATCTCACACGACACAGTAACAGTAAGCAAACAAAAAAGTGTCCTGCACTTCCTTAATAAAAAAACAAACCCCAAACATTTTTTATTGTGAAAAACCACAAAGAACTTGAACAAGAGACAGGGAGAAGCTGGACAAGGCATCGTGTCTCTCCAGTAAGGGCTGAAAGGCAACGGAAAGGGCAACCTGTTTCCCGGCGGCACGCGTTTCTGACAGTTACAGACGACGAACAGCAGCATCTCTGTGAAACACAGCAAATGCACACATAACGTACCAGGTCCAGGAAAAACAATTTCTGCCTTACCTTCCTCTACCTTCAGCTTGGGGATAAAATACTTTGGTTTTCTTCAAACCGGCATCCAAAAATGTTCCAAAGCCCGATGCAGGACGGTAACTGATGGATCAGAAGAGGAGGATGACTCCTATTACACCGCCTGCTGTCTAACTCTGGTCCACGTATATTTAAACATCAAACCAGCTGTAACCTTTGCAAGAAATTTTCTGCTTACTTCACCTGATCGTGTCAAATACATATACAAGAAAGGACTAGTTTATCCAAAGAACCTTTAATAAAAATAGGTAATTGTAAACATCCATCACAGGACAACTGGGATCAACAGCACCACATCGAGCTTCTGGCATAGAATGGTCCCCCAAAAGTTCACAGGAATCAACAGGGAAGATGTCTAGCGTGAAGCAAAATGGTGGACACTTCAACTAGTCAATGAAGTGAGATATTTTACATTAAAAAATGTGTGTTTAGATGTGTGTGCATGTATATGCATACGCATGTACAGTCACATAAATCTCTTATTCATACATCGTAAACGTATATATGCACTGCAAACTTTTTATAATTTTTCTCTGTAAAGGCACATACCACAGACATCCACGGTAAAGAAAAATAACTCTGTTAAGACAAAACCGAATTTACAAACATTTTTACATTCAGCATTTGTGATATCATCAAAGACATTGCAGTAATCATAAATGCCAGTTATGGAGACTGGCTTAAGAACTGACCTTTGCATTGAGCTTCCCACTGAAACTAAATTTTCTTAAAAACCAAACAATTGCTGCCCAACAAATCTTTTGTGGTTTTGCATGGGACTGATGGGAATTGATGTGTGCACTTGTGAAAATTACCCTCTCATTCCCAAGCTAAGACTCAGAGAAATGGTATTAAGGGCTTCTCCTTCTCATATTGGCACTGTAAGTTAACTTTCAGTAAGTAAATTCAACCTAACTTTCAAGAAGTAAAAATTACTGGCCACTGAAAATCTGTTTTCTCGTACTATCTAGAAACTTGACACCTCCGAATTTCTTCTTTCAGGAAAATTTGTGTTGCAAAGCCTTGCGGTATTGCTCTCAAGTCTGAGTGAAGGGATGGCATTCGGGGGCAGGTTAATCCCTGCGCAGTAGCACTTTATCTTAAATGGCGAAAACCTGGCTGCTGTGGATCCTGTAATGCTCTGGACAAGGTCTACTATGGAGAACATGGAGGGGTCACCTTTCCTAGCAGCTTTCTTTTGGCATCCTCCTGTAGCAGAAATACTGATTTGAACGAAGTCTGAATGGGGACCTTTGGGCATGGAGGCACCAGGAGAGCTGGCAGGAGGATATAGTGGCATCTGGACCAGGTCACCCCAATCCCACCATATCCACATGCAGCTAC